ATCCTTTAGAAGTTCTCAGTGGTTTCAGGACAGACAAGGATGTGATTTCTTTTCCTATGCCAGTTGCATTACTTCAAATAATCCAGATTTTAACTAAAAAAGGGCGCGTCTACACATGGTTATTTAATGCGGGTTAGCCCAATTTAAGCTGCATTAAGGGTGCGTGTCTACACATGTGCCCTTAATGTGGCTTAAAAATGGCGATTTTAGGCTATGTGAGCCTAAATTTGATACCTGCCCAAACCAAGTATCAAATTTAAGCAGGATTAGTTAATGCAGATTTAACAAATGTGTAGATGCGTTACTCCACATTAACACAGGGAATAGTCCTAGGTCTGCCCAGCCACTAAGGGGCTGGCTGAAGCCCAGCACCAGCGCTCCTAGCTGGCTGTCTCGCCTCCCCCATGCCTGGGCTGTTCTCTATATAGTTTGCCACTTGTACATGGCTTTTTTATTGTTGGTAGGTGGGGAGGGTGGTGGAGGTGTGCTGTTTGTTGCTGGGGGAGGAATGAGGGATAGGTGTTATGAGAGTAGTAAAGTTTTTTTGTTTTAAGCATGTGCATGCCTTGAGAGTGGTGCTGGGGGTGGCAGGCCAGGTGGGCTAGAGCAGGGAGTGCAGGAGGAAGGGATCAGCCAGGGCCTCCTGCAGCCGGTGCCCTGGCCCCTGGCTGGTGGGTGCATGGCTGTCCTGGGTTCTGGGCATGGGGATACCTGCTGGGGCCAGGCACCCCACTGGTCATCACTGGCAGGGGCCAGGCTGGAGCAGCAGGGTGCTGGGTGTCACTGGCAGGGGCAGGGGCAGTGGCAGTCCTGGTGCAGGAAGGCAGGATGGGCAAGGAGGGAGCTACCGTGTGCTGCTGGGCACCTGGTTCCTGGGCAGGGAAGAGGCTGACCAGGGATTAGAGGGCAGGGGTATGTTTCCAAGATGGCTTCCAAATGTTGGCATCTGGCTCTTTCTTCAGCATGGCTGCCAAGTGCTGGCATCCTTGAGTCCAGAGGCTGGAGCTGCCCCTGGTGGCCACAGGGGCACTTGGCAAAGTGAAGCGACTTGGGACTAAACTTAGTCCCAAATTCTACCACATGAAGACACCTGCCAAAACCATTTTAATCTGCATTAGATTAATGCACATTAAATTTAAACTGGCTTAAATTCACATGTGGTTGCACCCAAAGTGAACCAGAGATTTGAGAGAGCTATGGAATACATATTTTTGCTCAGCTGTTTGCTAGACAGACTTATCTAATTTATTGAGAAATTGGAAGTATAACTAGCCTATACTCCGTGTGCACAGATACTTTCAAGTTAGGTATTATATTTATGATCTTTTTTGAACAATTGTTCTATACAGAATTTTAAGTGATAGCTTCTGGCTGACTAGGAAGCAGGAAGGTTAACTGATTTATATTGACATTTGCAGGCTGCTTTCCTAGCAAAGAAAAGTCTATGTTTAACATGTCAGTAAAAAAGATTTAAATTGACAAATTAACCCAAAAACTAGACATCTGTTAAAAAGAACCAGCAACCTCAGCTTGTATTATAATAAAAGAAATCTTTAAGATATTGCTTCATTGGTACCTCAGGGCAATCAGGTTAAAAATATATCAAGCTTGAATACTGCAGAACACTGGAAGTATGGGAACGGAAATTGTATATGTATATGGTGAACATGTCTAATCACTGGAGAATACTGGGGTGCAATATGTAACCAAATATTACAGGTTGTTAGGTATATATTGCCAAGTGATCCTTTGGTACTACTCTTGTAGCTGTCATGTTGCTGATAAGTGATAGTCTTCTTGGAAAGAGAAAAATAGTCCAAAATTAGGGAAATGTTTTCCCAAGAATACAGAAGATATACAAGAAAATTAAATCTTTCAGTTATGCTGCAAAACACACTGAAGATGAGTAGATACTTAAATTGTTGGAATGAATGGATAGTTACTGTGTAATGAATGCTCAAAATACATTTGCCTGCAAAAAAAAGGGTATACACATACAGTGTTTTTGATAATAGCATTTCATACTTATGATTGGTTTGAGGAATATAGATAGGATCAGCAGTTTCACTCAAATTTAATAAAATCAACTTGGAGGCATAAAGAAGTTCTTGCTGTAGTATGGTTACATCCTGTTCAATAGGAACATTTGATGATTATGTAACTCCATGTTGTTTTTTCTAAACAAAATAATGTTTGTCAATGCATGTTTAATGATTTATTCTAAAGATATTGATGTCAATGATTTGTAAACCTGATAAAAATTTTAAGTAAATAGTTGTTTATAAAAGGACAAAACCATTAAGGACTTTTAATTATCAGCTTTCCAAGTACAAATTTTAAACTACGGACACTTGAAGGGGGAAAAAAGCCAGCTGCTTAAGAAACACTTCTCTGTGGTGGTTGAAAAAAATTAATTTTTCAACTCCTGCATTGATGACTGTCTGTAGAGTGAAATGCACTTTAAGTGCTCCTTCACATACCTTCTAATGTACACCAGTATAGAAGTGCTGGCACAAAAGAATACTACCTTGGTGCTGTATTGTGGAATATGGAAGCTTTAAATATTTGATTTGTATTTCAAATATAGCATGTGCTGGTAGTGGTGAAAGGTTTTTATCACCGAATGCTGTTACTGTCTGAGAGCGTTTATTAGTTATCTGATCAAAATAGACTTTGACTTCCATGGGTTTGGTATTGGATCTTAAAAAAATAATAAACAGAATATAAGGGGTAGTGGCTTTTTATTGACCAGGTTAGGAAATACATTCCATTGACAGGAACCAACAGGAAAGAAAGTGCAGAGCTGATCTTGGAAGAAACAAACAGGTCAACTGATTTTACTATATTGATTTATTAGTTTTCTACATATCGGTTCTGTGTAGCCATTGTTTAAAAAAGATCCCTCTTTCACCATCCTGCCCTTGCATTCCATCCTCTGTGGAATAATTGTGTTATTCATATTCATGTTAGCTCAGTCCATCCAATCTTGATACAGCTTCCCTCTTCCTTCTTGGAGTTTTGTGTGAAATTAGTTTTCCAGCTCCACAGGGCAGATCTATAATGCCTTTTTATATGAATTGGAATTTAGGTAGTATTAAAATAAAATAATAGTCTTTGTTCTCAGGTCTGTTCCTAGTGAAAAGGTGTACATGTCTTGAAAAACCATCACAACAAGGGGAAAATAACCTGACAGCATGATAAGAGTCCTGAAACTGAATTGGGCACAAAGCTTGAATGTTCCTCTCATCTCAAAAAATAGTGTATAGACTTCAGAACTGAGAAGGGTAAGGTAGTAGTAGTGAGGCAGAGCATGTCTACACCATATAATACAATGCTATGTAGCTTGGGTACCAAAAGCAATCTAGGTGCTTTAGTGTGGAGCTCTAGCTGCTAAGTAGTAAATTAGCCAGGGCAGAGCTACGCATTTACATGGCTAGCTGCTTCTAGTTACCTCATTGACCTCCTAAGGTGTGTACAGAAGTGCTCTGTACATGTTTTACAGTGCTGTAATTTAGAGCACTTGTTATAGCATTATAGAATTACAGCACAGTGTTTTTAAACATGACAGAAGTGCACTGTCAGGTGTGGGGGTGGCTCTGTCAGGTGTGGGGGTGGCACTTCCCAGGCTAGGAGACATGGGGTGCTCTACAGCCTCCTGGGGCTTCTCCACTGATCAGAAATTTTACCAGCGTACAGAAGTTACTTAAGAGCACAAGCAGAAGTGTAGCTCCCTGCTATAACTGAGAATGCTTTGCAGAAAGTGTTCTGAGTTATGATCCCCCAGACCAAACAGAAGTTCACTCTTGGTTCTAGGGTAGAGGGGAATGCAGCTGCTGTCTGTCAGCCTGTAGCCAGTTTCTCCTAGCAATGACCCCTCCTCCGTGCCTGCTCCCTAGCACTGTTTTCAAATGGGAGGAGGGAGAAGGGAGCAGAGGGAGCTCAATGTAGGGGTTCTTCAGCCAGTGCTGGAGCATGGGGTGCTCCAATACACATGTCCAACCTTCCAGCAGTGGCTGAAAAAATCCCAGACCAAAGTCCCTCCACTCCCTTTTCCCCCTTCTATTCTGAAAACAGCAACAGGCTGGGAGGCAGCACAGACACAAGTTACAGAAGATGCTCTGTTTTGAAAGGTCTTCATCTGAACACCCAAGTGGCCATTTTTTAAGCAGTCTGCAGCCATGCACATATGTTTGCTTATGGCTATAGACCACTTTCTGTAGCCATATTGGGCAAAAATTGTCACTTCTGTCTGCGTCCTAAAGCACAGTAGGTTGCTAAAGTACTATAAAATACAGTGCATCAAATTTAATACCTCATTTAACAAGAGTTAATTTAAAGGACCATACCCATTTTTAAAGTGCTATAAAACTGTGCATTTCTGTTAAGCTATGGCAATAAAGTGCTTTAAATGGTGAAAAAAGCAACTTCTGTACACACCTTTAGAGACAGCTCAGGTATCTATATATGACACTGCATTGTTCACTGTAGATATACCTAGAGAGGAAAGAAAGCTTTGCACTGCCACAACCTATATTGTACAGTACAGGTATGCATAATTAGAGGTCTTCATCCTCCAAGACATTCAGGCACATTTCAACATAGAGTTTACAAGAAACACTTTTAAATTGATGGAGCTGTCCAAGTAAAATTGTGCTAAGCACTAAAATAGTTAAACTCATCCATGCCAAAAAATAAAAAATAAAAAAAATCTTGGAATCCAATATTTAGTGACAGTTGAAATAAAAAATAAAACCACAGTGATGATAATTTCTGCTTGGTTGACCTACTTTTTACCTTTCAGGCTAGTCAAGTACACCTTGCTTCTAATGCTTGTTTTGACTTCTTATGGGAGATTTTTATTTGGATAGTGACAGAAAAGTTTTCTGAACTGCTAAAATGCCAAGATGGCTTTATTTGTCTCTGATCTAGCAGCAACAGAATTAACACAGTCCATACTTTGTGTTATTGATTTTGAGAATATTTTCTTCTCCCAATTTCAGGTTGGGTGGGACTATATCTGCATACAAGATAGTGCCAGACGAAATAGAAGAAATCAAGGTATAGTATTACTACTGTCTTTCAACACTCTGGAGTGTTTTGTTGGAGAGAATACCCAACTTGTTACAAGGAAAAGGCAACCCTTGTTTTGTGCTTTGAAATGCACAGAGTATGTATGGTCTTCATTTTATACCCTAACTAATAAATATTGAAAATAGTAAAAAAAAAAAATCATCTTAAATATTGAATAACTGACTTGACCAACTATCTAGAGCAGTCTGTGAAATTAAAGAACAGCATAAAGATAAAAATGAAACTTTTGTCTTTCCTGTACACTTCTAAAGTCCCCTTTTCTCTCTAAGCCCTAACTACTAATTATGTTTGTTGAATATGTTCAGTGATCTGTATCTCTATAGGGCCAAATTTTTTGGGTCAACCTAAAGGAATCTCAGTACCACAGTCACATTTTCCCCTTCAGTTTTTCACTTGACACCTTTATTTGAAACATTTGGGGCCTTTTATCATACAGTCAGTATTAATCGAAAGTTATGGCCAAACTTTGCACAGCCCAGTGTCTATTTAGTTTCTTGAATCCAAGTTTAGAAACCTAAAATAAACCTAGCCTGATTTTCAGAGGTAATGATTTCCTTTAGCTCCCATTCACTTTGTTAGGTTTTATTGACGTCCAGCAGTCATGTAGTTTAAGTCTCAGGATGGATTCAGAAATGTAACTGTAGACATCTAACTTTGAAAAGGTTTATCTATTTCAAACTTTTACAAATATGTAATCTGGTGTTCACATTTGTTCTGAAATCAAAAGCACATTTAGGTTTAGCAATGCTTTCTTTTTATCTTAAAAAGAGGTAGATGGAAACAGTGGGCACACAAAGAAGCTCCAAGAATTCTTTGATTCGATGGATGACGGTTTTTCAATTAATAGGTTATAGCAGAATTCAGTCAAACCAAATACACTCATGGAAAAAAATATAGCAATTTGTGTTATTTCTTGTTGTTCAATGGGGTGATGTACATTTACCCTAGGTTAGAATATAGCTCTTAGCAGTGCCTGTGTAACTGGTGTTGTAATGATATCTTGTGAGACTTAAAATAAGAAACAATCAACTTGACTATCCCATTGCCTTGCACCACTTATTGTTATTTAGGGTTGTACAAAGTGAGTTAAAAATGGCTACAAAAACTAATAAATCAAATAATTAGATATTATAACCATTTGACCCAGTTATGACTTCACAGTGTGCAAAAGCATTAAAATATCAGGCATTCTAGACCAAGTTCATATTTAATGTAATAAAATACAACTTCGCTGCAATTGCACCTTTTCACACGATAGCAGAATCTATCTGTTTGCCACCACTAAAAAACCTAAGCTTCTCCCTTCTTTGAAAATTAGTATCATATTTCATATTCTCAAAAAAGAAACATGAATTGCAAATCTGAGAAATTGATTAGATTTTTTTTCATGAGATTTGGAAAATAGCACCATTTTTTTTTTAACTCATAAACTCCTTCAATTTTGGAAACCCAAACAGTGGCAGCTTGCTAGTGTATAAGAAATGGAAAGTGAAACTGACTTGCCAGATTTCAGTGGGTAAAATAAGTGAAATGGAAAAAGAAATAAGAAAGCAAATCAGTTGTATGATATGTTCAGTTTCAGTGTAAGAACACAAGGTGCACTTTAAATTTTTTGCTCTTGAAACCTGCTAAAAGGCTGTAGATAGAATTAATTAGTGAAACATTTCTGACTGAAACACACTTAAAAGCATTTCTTAAAGGAAACCTTTCAGCCAGGGGACACGTTCCTGTGCAGTTCCTGGCTGGAACATTTAGAAACAGAACAGCCTCCTTTTATGCCAACCAGTGGGTGCTAGAGAAGCATGCAGTGACCTGTGGCTCTATACTTCACTCTCTCTTCCCTCCCCTCACAGGGATAGGAGGTAGAGCAGAGAAGTTGTGTGGGAGGAGGGCTCCCTAACCACACTGCTAAAAATATGACACTCTGGCTCCAATACCCTCTACCTCTCTTCTCCCCCTCTCAGGCAAATGGAGAGGCAGAGAGGACTGTAGGTCCTGGAGTTGGCAGGTGTCTGGCAGGGGAGCAGCCAGATGTAAGCCAAACTCCAAGTGTTGCTTGGGGAGCTTGTCACAACCTGACAGCTCCCTGCCTCCCCTGCTGAGACATAGCAAAAAGTAAAATAGTATCTCAAATAAAGAGGTCCTCTTTTGGAATGTTTCAGATGCTTTTAGAGCAGGGGTTTTCAACCTTTTTCAATAAGCGTACCCCTGGTGGCCAGACAGAGCAGCGGCAGCACAGGGTGGTGGGGGGCGGCTGCCACATATGAGCTTCCTCACTCCCCTCTGCATCCAGCTGTCTGGGCAGCACCTGCATGGCCCGCTGCCCTCACTTGACCCCAGCCGTGGTCCTGGGAGGTGGCGGCGTGGGGTGGTGGGTGGCAGCGCTCCATCCCCACCTTCGTGTGCGTACTCCCTAGGGCCTTCCCAAGTACCCCCGGGGGTCTGCATACCCCCGGTTGACAACCCCTGTTTTAAAGCATTTCAAAGGTGTTGTACTTGCATACAGCTGGTGTTTGAAATGTTTTAATTATTACATGTGTCCTCATTCAACAGACTGTTTTGGTCTACTTCTTTACATCTCTTGGTACTCAACTACCTTGAGATTCCAGGGGGGAAGAAGTATGTTCTTCCTTCACCTCAGTACTCTCAGCATAGCTGTATTAGAAAGAGTCCACTGCACTAAGCCAGAGACCTTCAGCTATTCTGAGCAGTTGAAGAAGATGCATGCTTTTCTTCTCTCCAGTAACTGTCATCTCTTTTGTGGAAGCTGTTTCAGGGTTTGATGTTCACATAACATGCTCTGTGGGTTTATACTTTGTGTATGTGTGTACAGTGTGTCTGTTTTATGCTATATATTAATCTCTTTATGTACATTTAAAGCATGTGGTATGTCTATACACAATATGTATTCAGAGTATGTATCTCTTCAGTACATATATGTGTTGCTGCATGATCAATTTGGGGCAAAACTCCCATGCCCAGGCAGCAAAAATTGTGATATTGTGTGACTAAGGTACCACAGATGACGCATGGAAACTAAGCTGTGTAGAATAACCAGGGTATGTGATTATAATTACTTTGATAATAATCAAAGTGATTGTAAACATGATTTAATCAGCAAGCAGGAACTTTGGCTTAAATAATACATTTTAATCTTATTTGCATTTTTACTTTTTAATGCTTCTTTGGAGTGTGTGTGTGTGTGTGTGTGTGTGTGTGTGTGTGTTCCATTGCAGGGTTCACATGCAAACAAGAGGGTTCTACCAACAGTGTTTTCCAGGCCCACACCCTCTATATTTGCATTCAGTTGCAAGGGTATATTCAGCTCCAGAGGTACATGAAGTCCAGTGTGAGAGCACCTTTCACTCCAGTCCCTTTAAGTTGGCCTTGGTCTCAGGTGGAACACCAGAGTCTTCAGCTTCACTTAACTTGTTCAGGCTCTTATTCTGTTTATGTGTAGCTCTAAGTTCTTTAAGTTTTTAAATATTAGTATATTAGTCATATGCGGTGAGACTAAAGGGGCTAGGTATGTTCAGCTTATGGAAAAGACACTTAAGAGGGACATGATAGAAGTCTTCAAATATTTGAAGAGCTGTCATAAAGAAAAGGAAAATCACCTTTTCTCTCTTGCTGCAGAGAGGAGGAAGGATGTAAACTAATAGCTTGAAGTTACAGCAAAGTAAGTTTAGTTGGATATCCAGAAAAAACCTTCTTCACTGTTAAAACAGTGAGGCAGTAGAATAGATTGTATAGGGAAGTTGTGATATTGTGCACTCTCCATCACTGGAGGTGTTCAAGAAGAGGGGTACAGCCACTGGTCAGGGGTGATCTAGATGTAACTATGCCTATGTTCTCTTATGTATATTTCCTATGCTTCTGGGCTTCGCTGGTTGGCCCTTCACCTCCCACCCCTTTTCTGTTACATGTATCAGGGTGTTTTTAAGCCTTCCTAGTGGCATTAGGAGTTGGCTACAGCCAAGGCTGGGGACTTTGACTGGGGTGTGCCAATACTGCTCTGGACCAAAGCCCATATCTTAAATGTGCAGAATACACATAGGAAAAATTATCAAAATGTTTTTATTTAAAATTAACAGCTTTATTAAGCAAAGGAAGTATCTGTAGTTAGTGAATTAAACTGATGGATTCTGGTCAGCATGTCCTTCAGTATTTTAGAAATAGTAGATCATACTTCATGTTTATACAGAGATTAGAAGAAAACACTTCCCTGTTTTTTTTCACATCCAGACTGACTTCTTAGCCAGCGCCCCATGCTGCAACCGCTCACAGCCCATGTGGGGCTTCCTGTGCCTGCTCAGGACAACCCTGTGCGAGCTGTGAGTGGCTGCAGCAGGGAGCGCTGGCCATGGGGGGGAGGGCTTTTCCCTGCACTCAGCACCCACTCATTCACTGCTGGCGATCGCAGGGTCAGGGCTGCACACTGCCCCCCACCTGTACCGTGGGGCTGAGGGGGGCACTGGGAGTGAGCAGGCACGGGAACCAGTGGGAGCATGCGGCCCACACTGGTGTCCCCTCTTAGCTTTAAATGAGCTAAATTAGTTGAATAAACTGAAAAGGAGATATTCTCTGAACATGTAAAAGAAGCTACTGCACTCAGAACCTGGCTTAATACATCAGCGAGTGCCAGTTCCTGGTGTTTAGCCAATGACTGGTACCACTTTCTCTAAAATTTTGCAACAGAATATACTTGAATATTTTTACATCTTTAAGCTATTTTAATATAGTGTACTAAATTTAATCCATAATTTAGGTTGTTGATTTCAATTTTAAATTTTAAGTTATTGTATTTACTTACCTACCACAGGCACCTTTTCCCAAAAATCAACCCCCACTTAATGTCCTAAGCAGGCAAGGTGATTTTCTGCCTGCAATAGAAGCATCCTGCTTTGATTCCTGCTCTACCCAGCAGCAGCAGCAGTGGCATTTCTATTCAGGCAGTTTGGGGAGTC